TATTATTATTATTATTATTATTGTTATTATTATTCATTACTATTAATATACATACCTCACATATATTTTGTTGCTTACATTTCAAAACTTTGTTTTCATATATTATATATTTGAATATTACAGAACCAGATACAATAAAAAACATTTACGTTATTGTTCAGTTCACTTTAAGACAAAAACATTCTGAGAAATAATAAAAAGTAAACATTGAAAGTAGTTTAATAATATTTGTATTAATAATCTACTTGGCTCTTAAAAACAAAATTTTCCAATGAAAATTGGCAAAAAATAAAATTATTAAAACTGCAAAATGAAAATTAAGCCCAAATTACAGTGTAAATTTCTAATGTTCTCGAACGTTAAATGCCAAAATAATGGGGTCCAATACCCCAAACCAAGATCTGTCATGAAGAACTGCCAGTGATGCACTGAAAGGGGTCTCAGAGCTTCACCCCTCACCCTCAGAAGCTGATGACACCCACATTCACAAATGTTATTTTTACTGGTATCTATAGTAACGAAATTTATTACCATTGAATGTGTTATAAATAAGAAAATGAAAATATATTTTGAATTCAGTATAAACAATTTTTGTATCAACTTGTAAAACAAAGAATTTTTAAGCAAGTGAAAACATCAGGGTGGCTGCAGATGACACATGCAGCTTTCCCCTCTCCACTCCCCTACAAAAACAAGTTGTACCACTGAAAACTATTATACACAGTTGTAGATTTTTGTAGGGGATTTGGCATCCAATATTTTCTTTATTCTACTTATATTTCACAAATGATTGAATTAATATATTTCACATTCAATTTTTTTATAAGTGATGGATAGTGAATCAGTTTAAAAATGTGTTCCAAAGAATAGGAATGTATCGTCAACAAATTAGACTTCTACTAATAAGGCTGGCTTTGAAGATATATTTGGGCATTTAATCAAAAATATAAATTGATGCTAAAGAATTAAAAATTGTTAGGTAAGATGAGAACATAACATTAAATTAACAAATAATTTTATCAGACAGTATGCCACTCAATACTAATTTTGGTCAAGAATCCACAAAAAATAAATGAGATCTCATTTCTGAAGTAGATGAATCTGCAGAGGCAACAATTACAAAAACCTTTGTAAATGGCAATCAGACTGCACAGTTATGAAAGAGTGCATGACTCAAGGTAGTGAATTATTTCTGAGCCTCCTGTATGAGTTGAAACTAATACACTTTGTAAAAAAATGAATACATTTAAAATATGGATGTAAAAATATGTTCCTGTACATAAATTGAATATAGTTAAAAGATTTAATGAACTACTAATATAATTGGTTTTTTTTTTTTTTTTTTTTAGGTTTCAAATCCCCATGAAGAAAACCTCTCAAAGCTCCTAGCTTACTATAATCTCAGCCATTTCAATCCAATTTAATCATGACAACCTGTATTGACATCTATGATGAAGCAACATTCAATACAAGGGTCATAAAAGCATTGACTCATCCACAAGACAATTCTTCAATGTCCTAACCACTTGGTGAGTGAAACCCTTTTTTGAAAATAGCTATATCATTTTGTTTCTCCTTGGATGGCCAAATCACGTTGTGAAGTAGAGATGTATGATTCTCGAGAATGTCACCCCGCATGCATCATGAACACATTCTAATTAGGTTTATCACATTGGCAATTATTCTAAAAATCATGACTTAAGATACAAAAGAATTGCCTTACCTAAAAACAAAAGAAAATAAACATCTTCACAGGCAGATATGAAAAGACAACATGTTAAAATTTATCTTTCCTAAACATATAGTTTTGTATAAAATTTGAATTTACAATTAAGGAACTTTTTAAGCCTTCGACATACATAAAGCTATATAATGCATATTCACAAGCTTAAGTAAAACTTAATTAGTAAAGCGATATTTCATTATATTATTCTATCAAGTTGAAAAACAAGTAGCGTGAAAAAGATTAATAAAGTAGTCAGCAGTAGCAGTCTAAACAGCTGCTTAGAGTGAGGAACGTTAAAATATCTTCCTTTTTTGTTTTTTGTGAGGTTTTCTGGGACTGTGGGCACTTCATGTCCCATTATTGTTACAGTGTCCAATAAACCAAACCTAATTAAATGTATCATTGCAATGTCTAAATTAATGTTTATTTGATGTTAAATATTTTATTAAAAATACAATTAGTTTTGTACCCTACACAAATCACACTCACTCTAGTAAAAGAAAAATGACTTTGAAATGTCCCATCGCTGACTTAACAACAATAAAAACATGGGTTTTATGCACATATACGGCAGCCTGCTGGAATTTGAAAATCCTCTCTTTCTAAAAAGCTGGACAAGTTATCTAACAAAACTTCAAAAACCATACAGTATAAAACAATTCTTCGTGGGTGACATCAAATATAAATTGCCCTCACACCAACTATCAGTAATGAAAATCTATTTAAAACTACTAAAATCATACAATTTACAACAACTATAAATTACATCCAATACGAATATCCAAATATGTTGCAGCTGCTATAGATCCAAATAATAATAATGCACAAATAACCATTGTTTTCTATTGCCTACAATTTAATACAGGTTTCAGTGACCACACTGCCCAGTTCTAAACTTCAAACAGAAACAAAAACTGCAGAAACAAATAGACTTACAAAGAAATCTGTAACTATTCCCAAAAACATAATAAAAATTTCCAAACATACTCAGATTTGGAAAACTGGATGAAGTATATAAGGCAACCAATACAAATGATAGTTTAACCTCATTCATTAAAAATATAGAAATTTTCAAATGCCATTTCGCTCATAATATCAAAAAGATCCAAAATAAGAATACTTAATCATGGCATTAGCCACAGGCATCAAAGTTTTCAGTTGTGAAAGAAAACGCAACATGTATAAAATACTCACAAATTAACAAATGTAACTCAAACTTCACTTTCATATTACAAAACATATAATTCAATCCTACAAAAAAGTAGTAACCAAGCAAAATATAACAAAGATAAGTACATGGCAAATGCACATAATAAAACAAAACTATGTGGTGACATTATTGAAAACGACTACTGCACAACTAATAATAACAGAAAAAATATAGACTCCACTAGCAAAACGAAACTGTACCAAGACACAAGAAATACATCGAATATACAATCGAAACACTTTTCACAAATTAGTAATTAATTAATCTCTAGCACTCACTTAAACAATAAAACACACCAAACAAACACTAATATTACACAAATTGTTAAATTCATATTCTTACATCTGAAACCACCGCCCTCTGAATATTTTTAAAATCATGACGAACTGAGAACTAAATTCTCAGGCAGGCATGGACACACATTCCAGAGTTTTCTTCTTAAATTAAAACCAGTGCTCCATTGTACTCATCTGCAACCACTCTCTCACATTAGCAACTTACTCTCTAAACATCAGGCATATTCCCAGAATAGTATTCAAACAAGCAAAAAATTAAACCAGTTGTTTAAAAAGAGCAATAGTTATACCAAATGACCTACAGACCTAATCTTCTCCTGTTATCCGTATTTGTCAACAAAATTCTGGAAAGGCTTTTCAATGTATAGACTCAAACAGTTTCTCAATGAAATAATGTCCTTACAAAGTGCACAACATGGCTTCAGAGTAATAGATCCACAGACATACAGCCATCTTCTCCTTTTTATATGACATACTTCTTGGCACTAAATCAAGAAGGAAATTCCCATTGGCCCTTTTCTTTAGATTTGTCAAAAGCTTTGACATCATTGACGCATCATATATTTTAAGAAAAACTAGAAATCTAGAATTCGAGCGACTTGCAGTGCCAATGATCAAATCATATTTATCAAACCGTAGCCCAAATAGTTGCCTCCAAACACAACTAAAGTAAAACAAAATCTCCTTCATACTACTCCTGTCCTCACATAATAAATTGTGGAGTCCCGCAAGGATCATCCCTTGGGCCAATACTAATTATTATTATACATAAAGACATGCCTTTGGCTTTAAGAGAACAACAAATATAATTTTGTTTGCAATACATAAACAATCATCATCAAATCAAAAACACAAAACAATCATTCAAAAAAGCAACCCACAAACTTTGCAAGCAGTAGTAAAATGGTTTCTCATCATAAAAAACCAGCAAGACATCTCTCTAAATTTCCATGAATCACTCATCTGAAGAAAACTCTCACAGCAGTTGCTCATAAACAAAGACACCTGTAATGATATCTCATTGAAACTACCTTCCTCGGACTAACAATTCAAGAAAACCTAAAATGAAACTCTCACATCTCAATCTCAACACCAGAAGCTCAGCCAATCTTGTTATGCCGAACACCCCAGGTTCAAGCTCCAACATCGAGACACGTTCGAAATGTATTTTGCAAGATGTTGCCACTCACACCTAAACCTATGCGAATACATATTTGAAGGCAAATGCCCTGAAAGCACTATTGCACATTTATTATCCAAAAAAAGAATATCTGCAACAAGTGACAGCACTCAATAAGCTGGAGTTCCTGGCAAACCCTGTTTAATAAGACACAGAGGGGGTTGCTTCCTCTACCATGCATGTGCGATATTTGAAATAGTGGTCTCTACAAAGAAAATTTCCATGGAAACAAACCTTTTACTTTTAATTCCTGAGCTACCACAATTACAAACACCCGTCAAAAGGATAACTACACGTCCGCATTCTGAATTACACTGTTATCAAAAACAGTACGATAACTAGAGGCATTACACTTTACAAACAAATCAGCAATGATACGTCAAAGACATAATACACAATTCATACATTTAAAAAGTAAATTGAAAGCTTCCTGTTAACCCATGTCTACAGTGTAGAAAGAGAATTTTACAAATTAGCAACATTCTCTCTGAAAAAATATGAAGAAATCAGAATTTCTTATCTCATCTAGACTTTCTGTTTCACTTGTAAACTGTTCAAGATAAACAAAGAAAAAAGAACTGCATATCGCATCCTGTGAAGCAGAAGAGAATAGAAGAAATAGAAAAATAATGGTTCAAATTGCCTCCTCACATTTCAAGTATAAATATAGACAGACTACTACTATTATTAAATTTGATGTAGTTGCCAAACTAATATATGTATTATTAATGTATTTATTATTGTTATTATAAATAATTATTATATTATAAG